TCCCAAAAATCGGACAATTCACAATTGTAAGAAGTTCGTTACTAATGGATTGGTTGGTGTATTGCATAGTTTTAGCGATAGGATTTCACTCAAAACTTTCCAAATGACTCCTCCCACCATATTATGATGCTATCCCAAGTTTTGGGCCCAATCCGGTATCTAGTGGTCCAAGAAATTGAACAATTCAGGTTCGTAAGAAGTTCGTTCTCTAATGGAGGGGTTTGGGTATTGCATAGTTTTAACAACTGGATTTCATTGAAAACTCACCACCATATTATGTTGTTGCCCCAAGTTTTGGGTTCAATCCGATATCAAATGGTCCTTCAAATTAGACAATTCATGTTCGTACGAAGTTTGTTCTGTGAATGGAGTGGTTGGTGTATGGCATAGTTTTAGAGATTGGATTTCACTCCATACTCACCAAATGACTCCTCCCACCATATTATGATGTTGCCCATATTTTGAGCTCAATCTCGTGACGATTGGTCCAAGAAATTGGACAATTTAGGTTCGTATGAAGTTCGTTTTGTAATGGAGTGGTTTGTGTACTGCATTGTTTTAGCGACTGGATTTCACTCAAAACTCACCAAATGACTCCTCCCAACATATTATGATGTTCCCCAAGTATCGGGCTCCATCCGATATCGAATGGCCCATGAAATTGGACAATTAGGGTTCGTACGAAGTTCGTTTTGTGAATGGAGTGGTTGGTGTATTGCATAGTTTTGCAATTGGATTTCATTCAAAGCTCATGAAATGACTCCTCAAACCAAATTATGATGTTGCCCATGTTTTGGGCGCAATCCAATATCGATTGGTCTAAGAAATTGGACAATTCAGGTTTGTGTGAAGTTTGTTCTATAATGGAGTGGTTGCTGTATTGGATAGTTTTAACGATTGGAGTTCACTCAAAACTCACCAAATGACTCCTCCCGTCATATTATGATGTTGCCTAAGTTTTGGGCTTAATCCGATATCGATTGGCCCAAGAAATTGGAAAATTCAGGTTCGTACGAAGTTCGTACTAAATGGGTGGGGTTGTTGTATCGCATAGGTTTAGAGGTTGGATTTCACTCCAAACTCACCAAATGACACCTCCCACCGTAATATGATGTTCCCCTCGTTTTGGGGTCAATTTGATATTGATTGGTCCAAGAAAGTGGACAATTCAGGTTCGTAAGAAGTTCATTTTGTAACGGAGTGGTTGGTGTATTGCTAGTTTTAGCAATTAGATTTCACTCAAAACCACCAAATGACTCCTCCCACCATATTATGATGTTGCCCAAGTTTTGAGCTCAATCCGATATCGATTGGTCCCAGAAAGTAGACAATTCAGGTTCGTACGAAGTTCGCTCTGAAATGGAGTGGTTGGTGTATTGCATAGTTTTAGGAATTGGATTTCACTCAAAACTCAACAAATGACTCCTCCCACCATATTATGATGTTGCCCCAAGTTTTGGCTCAATTTGATATCGATTGGTCCCTGAAATTGGACAATTCAAGTTCGTACTGTACATGGAGTGGTTGGTGTATTGCATAGTTTTAGAGATTGGATTTCAATCAACACCAACCAAATGAATCCCCTCACCATATTATGATGTTGTCCCAAGTTTTGGGCTCAATCCGATATCGATTGGTCCAGAAATTGGACAATTCAAGTTCTTACGAGGTTCGTTCTGAAATGGTGGGGTTGGTGTATCGAATAGGTTTTAGATTGGATTTCACTCCAAACCACCAAATGACACCTCCCACCGTAATATGATGTTCCCCTCGTTTTGGGGTCAATCCGATATTGATTGGTCCAAGAAATGGACAATTCAGGTTCGTACGAAGTTCGTTTTGTAATGGAGTGGTTGGTGTATTGCTTAGTTTTAGCAATTGGATTTCACTCAAAACTCACCAAATGACTCCTCCCACCATATTATGATGTTGCCCCAAGTTTTGACTCAATTTGATATCGATTGGTCCCAGAAAGTAGACAATTCAGGTTCGTACGAAGTTCGCTCTGTAATGAAGTGGTAGGTGTATTGCATAGTTTTAGGAATTGGATTTCACTCAAAACTCAAGAAATGACTTCTCCCACCATATTATGATGTTGCCCCAAGTTTTGGCTCAATTTGATATCGATTGGTCCCTGAAATTGGACAATTCAAGTTCGTACTGTAATGGAGTGGTTGGTGTATTGCATAGTTTTAGCGATTATATTTCACTCAAAACTCACCAAATGACTCCTCCCCCCATATTATAATGTTGCCCAAGTTTGGGCTCAATCCTATATTGTTGTGTTCCTTCCGAATGCCAATATATGATTAGTATAGTGGTACAAGTAAGGGTGTCGAACCACAGAGACCGATTGGCCCTCTATAAATTACTAGTTTTGAAAGAACCCTAATAAAAAATGAAAATGACAAATTGAAAGTAGTTTTTGTGTTGTAAATGAAAAATAACTTAAAATGCAAGAAGAATGTAGCAGTGAATGATATATTGATGTAGAAAGAATAGGGATGAGACCAAGGATTTTGAATTTACCATTGCAAAAACAATTCCATGTTTATAAAGATAAACGGTATTCAACTACCAACATGTTTCCAGAGTTCGTTTTACACGTATATGATCAGTGATATGATGTGTGGTTTTGATCAAATTCTCCAAATCTGCAACCTAATTGGGATGTTCAACTTTGGTTCGAAGTTAAGAGTCATTGCACGTTTTTGCCTTATTTGGCACCTCCAAATCATGCTAGAAATCCCCGTTGCTTTCGCATTCTGAGCTTAGTCTTCAAACAAGCTAGGTTCGCCTTGGATTCTTTATTACTTCAAAATAGATCACGAAACTTGTTTCCACGTTTGAATAAGGGTCAGCTCCAAAAATGGCATGTTTTCATCTCTTTTGCCTTCAACTTGATCCTAAAGTAGATGCAACTGTATACTAACACAAAACAAGGTAAAACGCAACAAGTTTAACTCAAAAACATCACAAATAGACTAGAAATGAATGGTATAAATGTATAAATATATGAGTTATCAAATACCCCCAAACCTGATTTTTGCTAGTCCTCGAGCAAAACTGAAACTAAAAACACATAGGACAATAAAATCTAACTTGACCACTTTAGCTGGCTAAACGATTGCACTGAGCATGTGCAACAAGCCTTTAAACCCCTAGGTGTCCCTAGTAGGAGGAGTTGTGTCTCCTGAGGGTTTACAGTGATGACACCCACAAACATCTGCATACTTGCAAACCAAATTGGTTAAAGCATACTTATAGCAAACTAATAAGAACCAATGAAAGCTTAGTCATACATTCGAACCAATAGTCTGCCACTTCAAAGAGTCATATCATAAGTATAGTGTAAAAAATAAAAATAAATTACTCCATGTCTCGTGACTTCAAAGACACCATACCCAAATGCCAAAGATAGAAATCGCCTCAACTCTAGTCCTTATAGATATCACTCAAATTTCACTCAGATCCTAAGGTGTGGTCTCTCCTCAAACATATGTGAGTGAAGTTATGTAAAAGGGAATCAAAATCCTCACATATGAAATATGAAATAAAAGCACAATTTTTGGACAGATCTCATGAAAGGAATCAAACACTAAGAATATGGATAGCACACATACTTAGCAGAACCCATGAATACATCCTCAAAGATCAGCTAGGTCTTTCACAAGGTTTGTAATGTAAGGCTTAGGTCAGGGGCTATGAAAGAAAGGGTAGGAAATACTAAAGCTTGGGACATACCAAAGTGTCTTCCTTGTGAAAGCATCAAGCTCTCCTCTTCAATTGCTCTTTGTTGTTTGTTCGCGGCATCCTGTGATAATGGAAGGATTTAGAAATTACATCCTCTTTATCCAACAACACCATACCTCGGTACACGCCACTTTCTTGATGTAGAGCTCGAATATCTTTGTCTTCATCACTTTGGTATTCCCCAAACTATAGGGTATAGCTGTAATGGGCTAAATATCTCATATTGACATAAAAGGATGTGGGGAAAAGAAAATGTGAGAAAAGAAAATGGCTAAAAGTGATTGGCTTCAAAATGGGGGTAATGGCACACACATAAAGGTAAGAAATTAGGCCTTTCGGTGGTTAAGACATGCATAGCCTAACATCGTCTCAATAAGTTCATTCATGAGTATTACCAAACACATGGTATCTGCGAAAAAGAACAATTCTTAGCTTTGAATCAAACAAAATAATGAGATCATTTGAAATGAAATTGAAGCAAAAAGATAGGAGTACAAACACTTCCTCTCAAATAAGTAAGTAGGCTCAAAATCACTCACTAGGGTAGCCTCCACAATTCTTCTTCAAGAATTTGAGCATTGATACTTTAACCACCATGATTCCAAGAGTAAAAAATTGAAAAAAAAAAAAATGAAAATACAAACTTTTCATGACAGCACAGTAGTCCTCATTGTAACCATAGCCCTCATATACATTCACATTAGTAAGCAAAAGCAAACTTTAACCATAACTAAAAACAAACGAAAATCCCACACCCCCAAACCTAAACTAAGCATTGTCCTCGATGCTTTAAAAAAAATGAATGGAATGGATGCAATGCAAATTGGCACAATGTGCATGGAATGAAATAAAATAAAAACTAAAAACTAACACAAATAAAAGGAAAGAACACAAACCCAGCTAGGTTGCCTCCTAGCAAGCGCTTTATTTAATGTCTAGGCAAGACATAGTAGTGTGTCTAAGTTGTTATAAACTCAAGAGAATCCATAACTACATAAACCTGCTCCTGTGAAACATTCTCCAAATAAGGCTTCACACATTGTCCACTGACCTTCAAACGGGTGCCATTCTTGATGTTTTCTATCTCCATAGCTCCATGGGAAATACTTGAAGCACTTTGAATGGTCCAACCCATCTAGACTTCAATTCACCTGGAAATAATTGCAAACGTGAGTCATACAATAGTATTTCATACCTAGTTGAAACTCCTTCCTAAGAATTTCTTTGTCATGGTAAAGCTTGGTTCGTTATTTGTAGATCCTTGAATTCTCGTATGATTCATTTATGAGCTCTTCCAACTCATTGAGTTGGAGCTTCCTAACCGTACCAGCTTCTTTGAGATCAAAATTGAACTTCTTTATGGCCCAATATGCACGGTGCTCGAGCTCCATTGGCAAATGACATGCCTTTCCAAACACCAGTCGATAAAGGCTCATTCCAATTGGGGTCTTGTATGCTGTTCGATAAGCCCAAAGTGCATCATTCAACCTTAGTGACCAATCCTTCCTTGTAAGGCTGACGGTTTTCATCAAGATGTTCTTTATTTCTCTATTGCTGATTTCCACTTGTCCAGAGGTTTGAGGATGGTATGGAGTTTGCCACTTTATGTGTGATGTTGTACTTCTTCATCAATGCCTCGAAAGGTTTGTTGCAGAAGTGACTGCCACCATTGCTAATGATAGCTCTCGAAGTTCCAAACCTAGTGAAAATCATATCTTTGAGAAAATTCAAAACAACTTTGTGATCATTAGTTCATGTAGCTATTGCCTCAACCCATTTTGATACATAATCTACTGCCACTAGTATGTATATGTATGCAAAAGAAGATGGGAATGGTCCTATGAAGTCAATTCCTCACACATCAAACAGCTCTACCACTAAAATGTTGTTTAATGGCATTTCATTCCTGCGACTGACGCTCCCAATTTTCTGACACCTATCACACTTAGAGCAAAAATCAAAAGCATCTTTAAAACAATGTAGGCCAAAAGAAACCAGATTGTAAAACCTTTAAAGCTATCTTTTTGGCACTGAAATGACCTCCGCATGCCAATGCACGACTGAATGTTAGTATGCTTTGCTGCTCACTCTCCAGAACACATCTTCGAATGATTTGGTCAGGGCAATACTTGAACAAATAGGGCTTATCCCACACGTAGTGTTTCAACATTGAAAAGAACTTTTTTCTCTCCTGAAAAGTCAAATCATCTCTAATTACACCAGAAGCAAGATAATTTACAAAATTAGCATACCATGGCTCTTTATCTTGAATGACAAAGAGTTGTTCATCCGGGAATGATTCGTTGAGTGGAAAAAATTTGTCCATCTCCATGGTTTTCATCAACAAGGCGCTACAAGTGATCAGCAACAACATTTTCACTCCCTTTCTTGTCTCGAATTTCTGGGTCAAACTCTTGTAACAAGAGTATCTATCTTATCAAATGTGGTTTAGCATCTTTCTTGGTCAACAAAAACCTAAGAGCTGCATGATCAGAGTAAACAATAACTTGAGAGCCAACAAGATATGAACGAAATTTCTCTAAAGCAAAAACAACAGCAAGCAACTCCTTCTCAGTTGTAGAGTAATTGAGTTGAGCATCGTTTAATGTCGGACTTGTATAGTGGATTATGTTTGGCAGCTTATTTACTCTTTGACCTAAAACAACACCAATAGCATAGTCGGAGGCGTCGCACGCTAGCTCAAAGGCAAAGACCAATGATAGGAGCATAGGTTAGTTCACGTTTCAAGGTATTAAATGCATTGATACAATCTTTATCAAAGTGAAATACAACATCTTTGGCCAAAAGATTGCACAATGGATGAGTGATCTTGGAAAAATCCTTAATGAAACGACGATAAAAACCAACATGTCCTAGAAAGCTTCTCACTCCCTTCAATGAAGTAGGGCCTGCCATATTTGAGATGATGTCAATTTTTGCTTTGTCAACTTCAATAACCTTACTAGATATTACCTGCCCCAACACAACACCTTGTTTCACCATAAATTGACACTTTTCCCAATTGAGAATCATATTTGCTTCCTGACATCTTTGAAGCACTAGAGAGAGATGGTTAAGACAATTATCAAAAGAAGAACCAAAACTGAAAAATCATCCATGAATACCTCAATAAATCTCTCAATCATATCTGAAAAGATTGCCAGCATACATCTTTGGAATGTTGTTGGGCATTGCAAAGGCCAAAAGGCATCCTCCTATATGCAAAAGTGCCAAGAGGACAAGTGAATTTAGTCTTCTCTTGATCTTCCAAAGCAATCGTAATTTGATTATAACTTGAATATCTATCAAGAAAACAATAATATGCATGACCAGCAAATCGCTCAAGCATTTGATCAATAAAAGGCATCGGAAAATAATATTTTCTAGTGTCTGAATTCAACTTCCTGTAATCAATGCAAACACACCAACTAGCTGCAGGTCTCATTTGAACAAGCTCTTTGTGCTCATTTTTTACAATTGTGATTCCAATCCTCTTAGGCACTACATGAATAGCGCTGACCCATTTGCTATTAGAAATCGGGTATATGATACCCACATCTAGCAGCTGCTCTCACTACTTCCTTCATGTGTGGATTGAGCCTTCTTTGTGGTTCACGAGTTGGTTTCACTCCCTCTTGCAATAAAATTTGATGCGTGCACATGGTAGGGCTTACTCCCTTGATATCTGCAATAGACCAACCAATGGCTGATTTGAACTCTTTTAGGACCATAATTAGCTTATGTTCTTCCAAAGGGGTGAGGTCAAATGCTATGATAACTGGGAGAGTTTCAAACTTAGCTAGGTACGCATATTTTAGATGTGATGGAAGTGGTTTAAGCTCAAGTTCTGGAGGTTTAACAACATCAGGGATCATATGTGTGGCAGATGGTTCTAATGGCTCTCTAAGAGGTGAAAAAGTGGAGGGATATGGTTTTAATGCTTCCAAGGGAGCCACCATCTCCATGAGCACTTCTTCATCAAAGTCATTTTGAGCTTGACTCAAATATATTTTAATGGATCATTGGATTGTGCCAACAAAAACTTAGAGGAAACAAGTGAATCAAGCACATCAATCGAACAACAATCAATTGAACTAGAAGGGTGAGAAAGAGATTCAAACACTTTGAATTGTATAGTTTCTCCTAGTACGGTCATGGTGAGGAGACCATTTTGCACATCTATGATAGTCTTTGCCATGGCCATAAATAGTCTCCCAAGAAAAATAGGTAACTCACAATCATGTATAGGAGCCTCTTCCATGTCCAACACTACAAAATCAGCAGGCAAAATTAGTTTGTCAACTTGAACTAAGATATCTTCCACTATACCTCTTGGATATTTCACTGATCAATCAGCAAGTTACAATGAAATAGTTGTTGCCTTCAAATCCCCCAAGCCTAATTGAAGGTACACTAAATAGGGCATTAAATTGATGCTAGCCCCCAAGTCAAGCATAGCCTTTTCAACTAGCTTGTCTCCAATTGTGATATTGATAGAAAAACTGCCCGGATCCTTGAGTTTTGGTGGGAGCTTTCTTTGAAGCACAACACTCATATTTTCAGACACCATCACCTTCTCATTAGGTCCATACTTCCTCTTATAAGTGTTTAGCTCCTTGAAAAATTTCCCACAAGCTGGCATATTCTTAATGACATCAAGCAAAGGTAAATTAACATTCACTTTACTTAAAATATCAAAAATTTCTTTAAATGACTTATCCTGCTTGCTTTTGGCAAGTCTTCTAGGAAATGGGATGGGAGGAGTGTATGGTTTTTCATCCTTGTGAAAATTTGGAGCTTCAAACGAAGAAGTGACATTGCTTGGATCATCATTCAGTTTCTCATTCTCTTCTTGGGTGGGACCTGCATTCACATGATCAAATTCATTAGTAACTTCATTGTCAACTCCATTATTAATAACCTTACCACTTCTAAGTGTTATGACCGCTTTGGCTTGCTCTTGGTTCCTTTGAAGTATCAACAGTTGGCTTGGAAATTTCCCGGGTTCTCTTTGACTCAAAGCATCAACAATCTGACCTAATTGTGTCTTCATTTTGGTTAGAGTAGCTGAATGTTGTTGGAGAGTACTATTGGTAGTTTGCTGGAATTGAATGGTGTTTTGAGCTAGCAGTTTGACCGTATCTTCAAGCGTTGTGGCAGGCGTAGGTTGGAAATTTTGAAATTGATTGTTATTCATCCATAAGAGATTGGGATGATCTCTCCAACCAGGGTTCTATGTATTAGAGAACGGGTCTTTCCTAGGCCTCTAATTGTAAGAATTCATGAGATTCACTTGCTCTTGAACGAATTCAGGATAAGCCTCACTAGCTGAGCATTGATAAATGGGATGACCTGGTATGTTGCAAATGGCACACACCCAGCTATCTTAGGCACCATATTGAGCACAGAATCGAGCTTCTTTTCCAAACTAGCCACCTGCAAGGCAAGATCATTATTAGAACTCATTTCATACACTCCAACTCGTTTACCTCTTGTATCTTCGTGTTGAGCGTTAGATCCCAACATCTCGTAAATGTTATATGACTCTTGAGCATTTTTTTTCTTCAAAGCTCCACCTACTGCATTATCGACAGTTGATTGACATGTTTGGGTTAGTCCATCATAAAAAATTTGCATTTGTAAGTGAAGTGATAACCCATGATGTGGACATTGCAGCAACATCCCTTTGAAACGCTCCCAACATTCATTGAAAGGTTCTCCATCATCTTGCTTAAAGTTAAAGATTTGCCCTCTCAAAGTAGCTGTCTTTTGAGTAGAGAAAAACTTATCCAAAAATTTCTTAGCTACGGTACCCCAAGTGGTGAGCGAACCAGGTGCTAAAGTCATTAGCCAACCCTTTGCTCTATCTTTCAATGTATAAGGAAAAAGCCTCATCCTCAGACTTGCTTCACTCACTCCCTGCAAAGTTAAACCACTCACAACATTGTAGAATTCCTTAATATGGGCTAATGGATCTCGTTAGGTAAACAATAAAAGAAGGAAGCATGTGAAAATGTGAAGATTTGAGATCATAATTTCTAGCTTCAGTAGGCAGCAAGATGCACGAAGGTGAATTTGGTATAACCAGTTGAGCATAATCTTCCAAAGCTTGGTTGTCATCGTTATTCCCAGCCATCTCTTCTTCTCTATCAGAATTAGAGTTGTCGAAAGAATCTACACTCTCTGAGCTAGAAGAACTATTGTCCTGTTCTACACAACTAGTCTGGGCACTAGCTGATACAGAATTCTCAAAAGTGTTGCTCTTTAACGGTTCAAGTCTTTGGCCTATCTCAACAACATATACTACCTGAGAAACCCAAAAAAAAATGAAATTAATGTATCTAAGATTAAAAAGAACACAAATAGGGTTTGAGAACAAGCAATTACAGAGGACTGAAATCAGTCCCGGCAACGACGCCAAAATTTATGTTGTATTCCTTCCAAGTAACAATATATGGTTAGTATAGTGGTACAAGTAAGGGTGTCGAACCACAAGGACCGATTGGACCTCTATAAATTACTAGTTTTGAAAGAACCCTAACTAAAAATTAAAGTGACAAATTAAATGCAGTTTTTGTGTTGTAAATGAACAATAACCTAAAATGCAAGAAGAATGTAGCAGTGAATGACATATTGATGTAGAAAGAATAGGGATGAGACCAGGGATTTCGAATTCACCATTGCAAAACAAATTCCATGTTTATAAAATTAAACCGTATTCAACTACCAACCTGTTTCCATAGTTTGTTTTACATATATATGATAAGCCATACGATGTGTGGTTTTGATCAAATTCTCCTAATATGCAACGTAATTGGGATGTTCAACTTTGGTTACAAGTTAAGAGTCATTAGCATGCAAGAAAACGTTAAAGAATAAAAGAAAATACACGACATGATGTTTGCATAGAATTCTCTTCATTCATTCACATGTCTACTAAGATTTAGCATGATTTTTACTATAACCTTGTCTAGATAATCTGTAGGCAACCCTAATGGTGATCAAACATTAAAATTGACAAACAAATTTAACAATAGATTCAGTGAATGAAACAAGAAGCAGATTGAAGAACTGAATACTTTAACTTAGAAACATGGATCAATGTTGCAAGGGTACATCGAAATCCCTAGCTATGAATTTAGTTACACATCATGTTCACAGAGATTAAAACGAAAATAAACAACATGGGTGAAAATAAATTCAAGAGAGGGAACCCTTGAACCAATTCTGATGTTGAACTTCTCCAAGAACAGCCTCCTGCGATGAGTCATGACGGTGGAAATATATGGACGACTAGGTTTAAGTGTGCATAAAAGGAGAGAATAACCAAAAAAGGGGTCCAGGGTTGTTAAATTCGTCCAGAATAAATGGGGTCTGTAAAATTGGCTAAAAGGCAAGTTTTTGTGGGGGTAAAAGAGGCTGCAAGATATTCCCAAGAGATCCTAACAAAGTAGCCTTTATTTTGCACGTTTTTGCTTTATTTGGCACCTCCAAATCAGGCTAGAAATCTTCATTGCTTTCCCATTCTGCTCTTAGTCTTCAAACAAGCTAGGTTTGCCTTCAAACAAGCCTAGCTACACATAATTAGGGTTTGGTGGATTAAATTGTGGGCCCCATAATTCGCCCATGTGGCGTGTGACTCATCAAAGTCAGATTAGTTGTCAAAAAGTGACATGTGGCGACATCCGACGAAGTGCATCAAACGGTTCAAAATGAAGACAAAATTAAGGGAAAGAATCTTCTGTGATTGACTTTGATTTAAATCAAATATTAATCATGTCAATCAATTGAAGATAATCTGGTTAAATTGCCAGACTATGGAAATTGATTTAAATCAAATTAAAATCCCACAAAACAAGGTTTTAAATAGGGAAAGTTATTTAGGTCAAGCATCCTACAAGAGCCTATAAATAGGAGGCCTCAAGATGAAAGAAGGGGTTAAGAAAAACCTAGCATTCAAAAGAAACAGAAAACTCTCTGCATTCTTCACCTCACTTTGGAAGAACCACCAAGCACAACAAATACGTGCCGGTTCCTCCACCCTAGAAAAATCGAAACACCAAACAAGCCTTGTGCTACCCATTTGATCAAGATCAAGTCTCTACGACCCTTGTATCAAACACAAAGTTTCTTTAAACACTTTGGAGATCGAATCAGAGGATTCAATACAGAGATTGTAACCCTAAATTTCATAAATACAAAGATTATTTTGTACACGTGTTCTTGTCTCATTTGTCGCAGGAAATTCATGTTTACAAATTTGGGACGCTCGGTGGGACCTCTCTACCTCTCATCTCTTTCTCCATATCCAAAATCAATCAACACACCAAAAACGATGGCTTCCAAGAAGATTCAATCTGTTCCTGCGACGAGAGGCAAAAGTGTGAGAGCCTCCTTGTCAAGTGGAGACTTTGCTGGGGTCATCACCCGGAGCAAAGCCAAGGCGATATTCACAACTCTACATGTCACCTTCATACCGACTCAAGCCAAGGCGAAAGATGTGAACCGGTTATCAATCTGACCTCTTTTGGGGCAAAGAAGAATATCTCCCAAGCGGATGAGAGAAACTATCAGAATGAAGAAAGGAGTTTTTCGGGCTCGAAGAATTCAAGAGAACGTTCCCTCTCGCCTGTTTCAGACGCTGACTCGAGCACAGACTCATACCATGGATCCCCGCCTGACGACCAACATAAGAAGATTGCCTCGGTGTCCATAGGTGAGTCTTATTCTATGGTCATGCAGGTTATGGTGAGGCGGTCACGAAACTGACGAAGATGGTCGAAGAGAAGGATGCGCAGATTGCTTCTCTCATCAACAAGTGGGAAGCGCATCAGGATAAGGAGCCTAGTCAAGACACAAACAAGAAAGGACCACATCATGAGGCTGAATCTAGCGAGAAATGATTGGGTCATGAAACAGAGTCAGGTGAGAAGTCGCACGGAAAAGTTGACGCCGCCTGATGAGTCGATTTTATATTATATATTTAGCCTCATTCTTAGTATATTTTGGTTAATATTTTGGAAGAATTTTGATACTTTGAATTATATTTCCAATATAGGACTTTCGACTTCCTCTGGAGCAAAACATAATCAAATGGACGAATTTTGGAGTAATTCCAGTTGGAGGACGTTCGTGAGCCACTTAGCTTGATCGTATCAAAATATCAGACTTTTCCACCAAGCGATGATTTCCTGGTGAATAAATGAAGGAGCAGTGCACTGTGCTGGAATAGTGACGTTTTGGGCTTGTATTGCGTTTTTGGAGCCCAAGATGACCTCGGATGGGTTCATGGCCTTCTGGAGAAGTGTTCGGAATATTTTTATCTTTAAAACGAGCTATCTTGGGCCAGATTTGGAGGAGATTTGAGACCAAAACGTGGCTGACCAGATTATTGGCAGATTCTCCTAATCCAATTTGGACTTTATTTCCTAGTCTTATTTTATTTTAACTTAGTTTCCTTGTGGGGATTGGGTAGCTAGGTTTTAGGAGGTATTTAAGCTCCTTTTCACAGCAATTTAAAAAACTTCCTTTTTACTTCTTTTTGGTTTTTGGAGCAATTGCTAGGGTTTTGGATTTTCGCGACTTTCAGGTGTTTGCATTCTTATTCTTCTTAATGATATTTTCTTGGATTTCAATTGTGAACATGCGTAACTAACTCTCTTTTGCTAGGGTGAGGCCACGAGCCTTAGCAAGAATATGTAGTTTCTGTCCAATTTGCTTATGATTATATGCATGCAGGTTTTCGAATTATTCATCACTGGGTTAAACTATCTAAGTGTCTTGATGCTTGATCACCATTAGGATGTTTAGAAAAGTAATTTGATGCAGTTTTGGTCGGAGGTCGGTCCCTGAAATTGACGAAGGCTTCTTGTGATTAATATGTGCAAGTTCACTTAGGATGAATACCACGTCTTAAGGGTTGCATGGTTTTTCAAAAGGTTTCACAGAACTTAATGAGTCATGTATGTTTAGATTCGATCTGAATACCACAGACGGATTGCATGTATGATATACGCTCTATGTTGGGGGTCCAAGTAGGCATATATTAGGAATACCTAACCTTCGAAATATGCATGTATAGGTCATAAGTAATTGGGGGAACTATATAGAATTGTTAAGGTGACGGCGGATCCCTAGTGCTTTCTTAATTTGATTTCTAAAAACACAATTTTTTCTCTTGCTCTTAGCTTTAATTTTGCATATTGCCTTATTTTTATTAGTTAAATTCGTTTTAATTTAAGGTCTTCAAATCAAACATCTCAACTTTCTCTTTTGCAATAATTAATTAGAATTTGGTTGCTACGAGTTATTTAATAATCCCTGCGGAGAACGACCTTGCTTGAATCATTTATACTACAATAACCTTGTCATTCTTGCAAGTTTTGTAGGAGTTTTAACCCTGTTTGCGCAGGTACTAAAAAGCCTATCACCGCCTCGGTGGGTTCTCTGTCAGTCCAACAACTTCAAGACATGATCGCGAACACCATTAGGGTTCAATACGGAGCACCTTCCCAAGACACACTCATGTATTCTAAGCCATACACCAGGAGGATAGACAACTTGCGAATGTCGACAGGATATCAACCTCCCAAATTCCAACAATTCGATGGAAAGGGAACCCAAAACAACATGTTGCACACTTCGTCAAAACATGCAACAATGCCGGGACAGAGGGTGACCACATGGTGAAATAATTTGTTCGTTCCTTGAAGGGAAATGCATTTGATTGGTATACAGACTTGGAGTCCGAATCCCTTGACAATTGGGATCAGATGGAGCGAGAATTCTTGAACAGATTCTATAGCACTCGTCGCACTGTGAGTATGATGGAACTCACAAATACCAAGCAATGGAAAGATGAACCTGTCGTCGATTACATCAATCGGTGGCACTCGTTAAGCCTGGACTGCAAGGATAGGCCTTTGGAGATGTGAGGACCTAGCCACTCATGCCCATGATATAGAGTTGAGTATAGCTAGTCATGGAGGAAAGCATGAGCCCATCATGGAGCAAAGAAAGGATAAAGTCTTTGGACAAAAGACAGATAAGCCCGTCAAGAAGCCTACTAAGGAAGCAATGACAAGAGGTGGATAGACGTCGACGCACTTTGAAGGAGTTAGAGGAAAAAACGTACCCCTTCCCTGACTCCGATGTCGCAGGTATGCTCGATGAGTTGCTTGAAAAGAAGGTGATCGAATTGCCAGAATGTGAGTGGCCTGAGGAGATGAACCGAGTCAACAACCCTAAGTTTTGCAAATACCACCGAATTGTCAGCCATCCAGTAGAGAAGTGCTTTGTGCTGAAGGAGCTAATTATGAACTTAGTCATGCAAGGAAGAATTAAGTTAGATGTTGAAGAAATTGCAGATGCAAATGTCGCCACAATTGTGTTTGGATCCTTCGACCCGATGTCATTGCCTGCATTGTCAAAAAGATCAGAGTTTCAAGCAACAAGGGATAAACCCCAAGTGACTAATATGTGTACAAAATAGGTGGCGAGCGAACCAAAAATCGAGGAGCTGATGGCTTTATTGATGACTCATCTTTCGATGACAATGAAGGATGGACGCTTGTTACTTGGCGAAAGTCTCGTGTAAAGTACATTCCCCAACGACAAAATACTCAATCAAAGAGGGAGCGGCGAAAGAGGAGTTCACACAAACACTCTAAAAGCAAAACCAGAATAATGGTGAGGAGAGATTCTGACCAAGAAAGTGGACCACTAACCCAAGGACCACGAATTCCAATTACGCTAAGAGAATACTTTCCCAAAGTGTTCTTCGTAAGAAGACCAATGGAGTCTGTTCATACGACAACTTGCTATCAAGTAGATGACGAAGATGTCTCGGAAAGAAGATCTAACAATGATTTGATCAAATAATATACTATGGTTCGAGAGAAAGTAACAGTATCTACTCGGACACTACAGTGGAAGTGTTTTGAATCAAGAGCAGACAGTAAGCGTCTTTATGATGGACGCTTTATTCTGGCCCCACTCATGAAAGGTCAAGCAGATAAACTCATGAAGAGCAAAAGGTCTTGACACAGGTAGAGGATTCACCATCGCACTTTAATATTGAGGAAGCTGTGGAACTTCCTGAAGCAATACGCGTAACATTGGTAAAGGCACTGATGGATCTTAATATTCATCCAAATAAAACAAGAGAGGCCAAAAAATTAGAACCTGAGTCTCAAGACCGTGCTATTTGTTGCGCGACATGTGCTTCCATCACATTCACCAATGAAGATCTTTTGTTAGGGTCCAAACCACACAACCGTCCGCTTTTCATGTTCGGGTATGTGCGAGAACAGAAACTTGGTCGCATGCTCATGGATGGAGGTTCAGCAGTAAACATAATGCCTAAGTCCACAATGACAAAGTTAGGCATCAGCTTAGACGAATTGTCTCGAAGTCGTCTCATGATTCAAGGTTTCAATCAAGGGGGGCAAAGAGCCATGGGCATGATCAGAATTGAGCTCGTGATAGGTGATTTAAGGTCCAACACCTTATTTCACGTGATTGATGCAAAGACTTCCTATAATCTCCTCTTAGGAAGGCCATGGGTACATGAAAATGGAATAGTGCCTTCAACCTTACATCAGTGTTTCAAATTCTACAGAGGTGGAGTGAAGAAAATCTTGGGTGACATCAAGCCATTTACTGAAGCCGAGTCTTATTTCGCCTATGCCAAGTTTTACATGGATGAAGACATGGTATCTAAAGTTCTAGCCGCCAAGGTTCACTCGATAGGCAAGGCCATACCAAGAAAAGATGAGCATTCAAAGTGCCTTTTCGATGAAGAGAAGGGTGATAACAAGTGAAAAAGCACTGTCTTTGGACAAATGGGATCACCACCGATAAATTCACAGGAGGTATCTATTCCTGTTCTTCGTTATGTATTTTCATCCTAAAGGAAGGAAGGCCAATCCCCATTTGGAGAAGAAGTGAAACCGAGGAAGTTAGGGGAAAGTGACATGAAGTTCTTGAAGGAGTCTACAACCATGCCTTTACCCAAGTTAAGCAATTCAGATGTGTCGAAATCTTCAATACCAAGGTTCGTCAGACCATCACAAGATGTAACAAGATGTGAATATCTTCCAGTCAAAAGAACTAAAGAAGGTTTTGATCATAATGCTTATAAGCTCATGTCAAAGGCAAGTTATGACTTTGGCTTATCTTCTTCGCTGGGGGAACTTAATCCAGATGTCACAGGAGAAAGGACACATGGCCTTAGCGAAACCCAAAAGAAGTTGAAGGAGCAGGGTTACACAATCGACTCAGCTAGGGCAGGCCTAGGTTTTACTCCTGTCGCACCTGTCAAGATCTCTGCTAGAAGAAAAGAAAAGAAGGCGAAAGCTCAACACATTAGTGTTGAAGTGGTTGAGGAGGAAGAAGAACCAAAGGCTATTAAGAGAGCCTCAGTGCTCGACTGTTTAGCTAAGCTTACCCAACGGACCTCAGTTTTTAGCCGCATCAAAGAATCAAGATCACGACCTTTTGTGTTCAAAAGGATATATGGACATAAGAATCAAAGGAGAATCCAATCAGCTCCACACAGACCGGCGCTAGAAAGACTCGGAGTTCTAAGCAAGCCGTCTGAAGAGGAAAGCCAGCGAGAGTTGGAAAGTGGAGTTCATGTTGAAATCCAGAGCCTAATCCCATCATGTATGAAACGTCACTCAACATTAGACGTAACTTCAGGGGACCAACTCAAAGTGAAACGACAAACAATCATACAAACTCGGACAACTTTGAGTCAACAAAATGAAAGTGACGATGAAGAAGCAGAGATTCTAGTTGTTCATCACGTTATGATTAAAGAACTCGATGAAGAGGAACCTTTCGAGGATGAGGTTCATGATGCTCCTGTTGCATTAGAAGATGGGGGCCAAGCGATAGTTGATGAATTAAAAGAGCTCAACTTGGGCACAAATGAAGACGCAAGACCTATCTTTGTTAGTGCACTTTTGAATCCTAGCGAAGAGGAATCATACCATCAGCTGTTACTTGAGTATAAAGATGTCTTTACTTGGACGTGTAAAGAGATGCCAAGCCTCGATCAACTAAACGAATCGCTTCCGTCCGGAGCTCCCAAGTCAAATCGAAGCAGAAGTCGACAAGTTGATCGCGACCGGATTTATTAGGGAGGTGAAATACCCGACGTGGATAGCGAACATTGTTCTGGTGAAAAAGAAAATCACTGGAAAAATTCGTATTTGTGTTGACTTCTGAGACTTAAACTAGGCTTGCCCGAAGGATGAGTTTCCATTGCCCATAATTGAGCTCATGGTTGATGCAACCACAGGTCATGAAGCCTTATCTTTCATGGATGGTTCATCTGGATACAATCAAATAAGAATGTCGCCAGAGGACAAAGAACTCACCGCCTTCCATACTCCAAAAGGAATTTACTGTTACAAGGTGATGCCATTTGGCCTCAAGAATGCAGGTGCGACCTATCAACGTGCAATGCAAAAGATTTTTGGTGACATGCTTCACAAGAATGTCGAGTGCTACGTTGATGACCTAGTGATCAAGTAAAAAAGAAGAGAAGATCACTTGAAAGACTTAAGAATGATGTTTAACAAATTATGGAAGTACCAACTCAAGATGAACCCTTTGAAGTATGCTTTCGGCATCACATCAAGTAAATTTCTTGGTTTCATCGTTAAACATCAAGGCATCGAAGTAGATCAGACCAAGATTAGAGCCATCCGAGATATGCCCGAGCCAAGAAATTTACGTGAGTTGAAAAGTTTACAAGAACGCCTCGCATTTATTTGACGATTCATCTCAAACTTAGCAGGGAGGTGTCAGCCATTCAGTTACCTTATGAAAAAGGATGTTCCATTTGTTTGGGATGAAGTTTGTCACAATGCCTTTGAAAGCATAAAGAAGTACCTATCGAGTTCACCACTGTTAGGAGCTCCTATTCCAGGCAAACCACTCATATTGTACATTGCGGCTCAAAAAAGATCAATTGGAGCCCTTTTAGCGCAAGAGAATGAGTCACATAAAGAGCAAGCACTCTACTATCTAAGATGAACGCTTACTGGTCCCGAACTAAACTACACGCCTATAGAAAAAACGTGTCTTGCACTTGTTTTTGCTATTCAAAAGTTAAGGTACTACATGCAAGCGTTCACGGTTTATCTAATTGCACGAGCTGACCCGGTAAGATACGTTATGTCAAAACCACTCTTGACGGGGCGTTTGGCCAAGTGGGTGTTACTTCTTAATCAATACGAAATCATCTACACTCCAGCAAAGGCGATTAAGGGGCAAGCTGTTGTAGATTTCCTAGCCGATCATCCAATTCTAGCATACTAGGAAATTTTAGATGACTTACTCGACGAACAAGTCTTCTTTGCTGACGTTTCTCCTGCTTGGATGATGTTCTTTGACGGATCGGCTCGTAAAGATGGGGCGGGGGCTGGCGTAGTCTTCGTATCACCCGAGAGACACGTATTGCCCTATTCATTCACTTTAAGTGAACTTTGCTCTTACAACATTGCAGAATACCAGGCTTTGATCATGGGCTTACAAATGGTTGTGGAGATAAAGATATCAAGCTTAGAAGTACATGGTGACTCCATGTTAGTGATCAACCAACTGTTGACCCACTACGAAGTTAGGAAGGATGATCTAATTCCGTACCACCAAATGGCCACGCAATTACTAGAAAGGTTTGACTTCGTGACGCTGGAGCATGTGCCAAGAAAAGACAACCAAATGGCAGATGCCTTAGCCAACCTTGCTGCTACATTGGCGTTGACAAAAGATGAAGCGGTGAATCTTCCAGTTTGCCAATGTTGGGTCGTTCCATTAACACATGGGGCATCGCAAGAAGGAGTCAACGTTATCTCGGTATTGTCCATTGACGTTGATGACTAGAGGCAACCTTTAATTGATTATCTTGAGCATGGGAAACTGCCAGATGATTCGAGACATCGATTAGAGGTAAGGTGTCGGGCACCTCATTCATTTATTATAAAGAGATTCTATACTGTCGTTCATTCGAAGGCCTGTTTCTAAGATGCTTGGGCGAAGAAGATGCATCCGAAGCAATGGAGGAGGCTCACTCAGCTATTTGCGGAGCTCATCAATTAGGGCCAAAGCTACATTTCCAAATAAAGAGGATGGGCTACTATTGGTCGACTATGGTCAAGGATTGCATGGATTATGTGAAGAAATGCCAAGCATGTCAATTCCATGCCAACATTATACATCAGCCGCTGGAGTTGCTACATCCTACAATTACTTCATGGCCATTTGATGCATGGGGTCTTGATGCGGTGGGACCAATAGCACCCAAATCTTCTGATGGTCATTCTTACATCTTGGCAACTACCGACTAATTTTCAAAATGGGCAGAGGCTGTACCCCTAAAAGAAGCAAAGAAAGAAAATGTAGTGTGCCGCATTAGATCATCACAGACAATGGAAAGCCATTTTTGAACCGGTTAATGGATAAATTGTGTGAAGACTTCGGTTTCGAACACCGCAACTCTTCAATGTACAATGCCCCAGCCAACGGTCTTGCGAAAGCGTTCAACGAAACTCTTTGCAACCTATTGAAGAAAGTTGTTGGAAGAACCAAGAAAGATTGGCATGAAAGGATAAATGAAGCATTGTGGGCTTATTGGACGACATACCAGACGCCTACTCAGGCTACACCATACTTACTCGTGTATGGCATGGAAGCAGTCTTGCCTCTAGAAAGTCAAATTCCATCATTGAGGATGGCCGTACAAGAGGGATTAATAGATGAAGAGAATGCAAAGCTACATCTCCAACAGTTAGAAGCCTTAGACGAAAAGAGACTCGAAGCGCAACAATGCCTAGAGTGTTACCAAGCTCGGCTTTCAAATGCTTTTAACAAGAAGGTTCACCCCAGGTCTTTTCAAGTAGGAGATCTTGTCCTCGCATTACGTAGACAACACACAAAACTGGAAGCAAGTTTACTTCGAAATGGGATGGGCCCTATGTAGTACAAGAATTGTACACAAGTGGCGCTTACAAGATCGTAGCCGAGGACAGTTTAAGAGTCGGCCCTATCAACGGAAAGTTTTTGAAATGATACTACGCATAAAATGACACCAAGCTCTTGGCCCGCATGAGCCTGAACTACGTACGGCATCCAAAAAAAAAGGGGCTCGTTGGATTGAAAATCCGAAAGGGCGGTCCAAGCAAAAGTTAGAGCACAAGAAAGTCCGTTGAACTGAAAACCAAAAAGGTGGTTCAAGCAAAAGTTAGGACACAAAAAAAAATCCCTTGAACTAGGTGATGACTTGATCGCTTTTCACCAAGGGTACATAGGCAGCTTGGACAAAATTCCAAGTTTAGTCACATCAAAATAAAAACAAAGGGTTTTCCCCATCAATTCGAGCCATTTGAAAGAAATAATGAAATAAGAAAATGCTTTTATTTCATTATGAAAGTTAACTAACAAACGTCAACACTTTGACAAGTTCAAAGAGAAATATAAATAAAGCCAAGAAAGTTTACAACAACAGAATTTGCTACTCCCAAGACAAGTCCTTGAAGCCGTTACGTAGTCTCTTAAAAGAAACTCGTAATGTATCTAAAGTCTTGGCATTTGCAGCAGATAGTACAGGAGCTCCTTCAACTACAATCTTATCCTCTCTCAAGCGGGTAATCTCACGACGATGGTAAGAAAGTTGTACATCACCCTCTGAAAGTGATTCGTTTAGTTGATGCAGTCTCAACTCCAGTTGTTCTTGTTCTCTCTTCAATTCCTCTATACGCATGTTGGCAGATTGAATAGACTCAAGTACAGAAAACTAATGAGTCTCTTCAGCTTGTTGCAAAGCCAAGGCAATAGAAAGTGAAGAGTCAACTGCAACTAAACGATCGCTCTGAGCCTCGAGAGATAGCTTTTGGGAGTAAGCAGAGTGCGCAGAATGATAGTAATCAACAATTTGCCACGCTCATCTTTGAATGAAGGAAGCCTTTCTAATGAAGCCTTTAAGATTATACTTTTATTTGGTTTCCTAAAACGGAGATTACTTTGCGAAGGGATTTGTCTGCAACACCTAATTTGGGTTCCCCACATGACATTTCAGAAGTTGATGCATGATTAGCCGGCTTTAATAAATGTGGTTGTGCAAACGAACCTACATTGGCTGACGAGTAATGGTTAAGCAAGTAGACTCAAAGATTTTTAAACACTATGCTGATAAAGATTGGAAGCATACCTCTTAGACTAGCACCTGAACCACTTATCGGGTGCAAAGTATCATTTTCTCCTTCGATAGGCAAATGGTTGAATGGCACGAGCTCGGACATAGTAGGAACATGATGTACTACTTCTCCCTAAAATGTATATAATAAATTAGAATTGGTTGTTATAAATAAAAAAAAATAATAAAAAAAAAGAGCTCAAAGAGAAGTAAAGAACATACCTCGTTCATTAGAACTAGTTGTGAAATAGCAGGTACATCATAAAAGAATGTGTCATCAAGTGGGTATGCCATGTCCATATCGCAATAAAGAGGTTCGACGCTTGTCTTCTTATGCCTAAAGTTGACTTCACTGTCTTCATTGCTACTTATATGCCCTCGCTTCAAACGGCGAATTCGTCGACCAAGGGGAATGAAATCTTTCTGGGAATCTGCTACACTTTCTGTTTCTTCTTTATCACCAGGGACTTGAGTTGAAGGAACATCAATCGGAGGTGGGTGTTGAACTCGAGGCACAGGAGTAGTAGAACTACCTTCAACTTCTAGATGAACTCGGAGCACTCTACCACGAGTGAGTTTATCATGAACTAAAGTTTTGTTGCCTTGAGACTTAAAAGATTTTGAACGACGACTTTGCCTACATTTAATGAGAGGAAACGACGGCTTGCACAATGATGGCCTGCAAGACGTGCTTGCGCATTAAATACGCCATCCGACCTACGCATTTAAGGCACCAACTGTCAATCACTTCAGGAGGAATGCAAAGGGTCCATCCCTTAGAATCCATTTGGCCTCTGCCCAGGCCGCGACCGAAGAATCCAAGGATATGGGGGCAATGTTTGTGCCTAATAAATCACGGTCATAAACTGATTGAAGGGTCTTCATCTCGGTCCTAGCACCTACCGTTTGGTTAGGCATTTCGCCTTCCTGAAAATTAAAGAAAAGCTGCAAAGGCAGAATCCTCTCGGCCTCGCAACCGCAGTATTGTAGGCCGAAGCCGAAGGCAGTAAAAGACACGGTCGAAGATAATGTGGTTAAATCGCCACGTGGCCTCAGGGTCCCACTCCCCATTTAATGAAGTAATGCCTCTAACTATCGCAGCAAACCCACTAGTCGCAAGAAGCATTTAATGCACAAGAGAAGAAGGGAAATGACTGAAGTCAGGATTTGGTGATGGAAATCAGAGTGGTTAGGCGCGAACATTCTCACAAGTAATCTTACCACTTGAGGTCAGATCACCAACCACCAGACCAGGGCATTAAATGCGTTCCCACAGCCAAGGGGGCAGAACCCGCGATCAGGGCAGTGGCCGAGATTTACCGGGATTTATGGGGGTCATACCACCGTGCTTCACAATCCCAAATGCTGATTTGACTACCCAATTGCCCCGATCAGGCTCCACCACGCATGTCTTTTCAACCTCGATTGTCCCTCCAGGACTCCTCCTATAAATACTAAGCTCAGGACTACATTCAAAGGGTTCAAACACCAAACCAAAAGCCTCCCACGGAGCAAATTATATTTTCCTGTAATGCACTTTCAATACCTTTATTTGCTTTCCTAGGAGTAGTGGTAGATTGTAAGGAAAATCCATTCATCAATATATCATACGACCCATGATTTTCAAGGCGCCGGAGCACCATCTCTGTTATCGTCTCATTCACCCCATATATCATACAACCGTCGCTCTCCGAGCAACGCGCTGGAGCACCGCCTAAGACCCGCCACCAACACCACCACTAAACGACCTTGTAGCTCAGGCCGTGAACCTGACGGCCGAGATCAGTTCCACTCTCGGCCACAATCGTTTGATTAGGAGTCGAACGCAAAACAGGTGCATCATTTAACCATCTTCTACCCAAACCTCATCACTATCTCGACGCACGGTAGACCGTGCTGGCACGCCCGCGCACAACTGCACCGCATCCAAAAAAAGGACGTCACGTGTTGAGGCATATCCCCTCGGCCCGGAGCACCAGGCCGTGAGATTTGCGCAGCCAACAACATTTATATATCCCAATCACTCAGCATGTATAAAGTATATCCAAGAAAATTAAGAATCATATTATTCTGGCCTCAGGCCACAAGAATTCAAATAAATCAATCTGCTAATAAAATTCATCTCAACTTTCAAAACAACAATAATACACTGGCAATCTCAAACATTCTAACTCATGGCTGCACCTTGTAACTATAGGTTGTCTACGTACCTGTACTGAGAGATCAAGCCACACGTAGTTCTTTCCTTGCAAAACCACTCTAGTTCTCAATTTTCATCTCAGCTTTCTGTTTCAAGCTTCTTGGCATTTCTCACATGGCAATATATAATCAACTGAATAAATAAAAGCATTTATATCAGGTAATCATGCTTGGAAAGCCATAACCATTAATTTCTCGTGACACCAATGGTGACACGTCCTAACCTGTAATCCTCACTGGACTCAGGAGACATCTGGTCAACCTGGTCCGCAGTCCTCGCTCCCATGGTCCAGATATATCTAAGACTCGTGGGGAAAAATATGCTAGAAAACTTAAGCTATTTAATACTATATAAAATAATGCAAGATAAAGATAAATAAACATAATAAAATAAAATAAAATAAGTTAAAGATTTATAAGCTCCGAACACCCTTGTATCTAACTCACATAAAGTTCATAAATAAATATATATATTTATATATATCAATAACTTGATTAGAATCTATATTTCCATCTATTGTTTGTAAAACAAATGTGACGCTTAAGAAAATAGTGATAACTGTATAAAATCTTCAATTTAGTTTAAAAACATCTCATATCTTAAATTCTCTCCACCTAGGCGTACCCCCATATCTGATCCGTCAATTCCTTTAATACCGTCAATTTCATATATGTCGTCAATTCCATATATCCGCCAATTCCAATAATAATCTGTCAATTCCATCCTCGCTGGTCTCAGAAACATAAAGTTAACCAAGCCGCATTCCTCGCAGGTCTCAGAGATAACAGTTCAATATGAGCCGCAATCCTTGCAGGTCACGGAGATACCACTTCAATCTGAGTTGCATTCCTCGCAGGCCTCAGGGGACCATTAGTCAGCTTGAGCCGCAATCCTCGCACCACACGGTTCAGGCGTCCCCGAAACTCGTGGGGCATAATCATAAATACAAACTGTCTCAAGGCAACTGGGGGTACCCTCGCGATGGGTTTGAAAACCATAACCCGTCATTTATATAAACTTTCAATAAATTGATTCTCAACTAAACTTAAAATATGTATACCCATATATATATAAATCAAAATCTGATAAGAACCAAAAGCTATAATTCTTCCTTTTCAACCACTGAATATATGTATCAAATACTTAGCTAGTTTGCTAGCCATATTGATCTCTTATTAGCATAACATTTCAATATTATATTTATAATCTTACAGTACAACTAACCACATGAATATATAAGCAGGTGATAAATGAATAGATAATTAAATACTCATACTCTTCACATCTGAACACAATAAATAAATAACTTCCAATAATTCATAACCTTCCAATACCAAAATAACATCCAATATCAACATAAAACACTATAACGTAAACTCATAAACCAAACATAACAAAACAGTTAACGGAATAGTCAATTCTCAAGTATAAGATCGTTCTAATACTTCTCGAAGGATAAACTACCTCGGAAGACTCTCAGTCCACAAAGTGGTCAGACTTCCCAAACCAGGTCCACGGGACCCGCGTGGGGTCCACTACCACCTATCACAAATCCAAGAGTCCCTAAAGGTCCCAATAAACCTAGGACACATGTCCCGAGAGTTCAGTCTCTATCAGATGGTCGGATTGCTCATGATTACACAATCGGATGGTTACTGTAAACTTAACCTTAGGGTTGACATTTCTGGAGTATCTGGGACTCCGTTTTACAATCCGTCGAGTCCTATATGATCCTGGAATTACCTAGATCAACATATACGAAAATAACTATGATCCAACGGTTCACACGTATCAAACCCGGAAATCACACAATATGCGAGATCCGAGAGAGGTTCATGAATTCCTACGCATTCGTGAGGACTAAGAGATCATTTTAGGTTATGGGAGCGACTTCACTATGCTTCACACGCACCGCCACACGCGCCAGTAGCCCGTGGGTGGCTTGATCAAATTTCGGCAACTGGAAATCTTCAAAACTGGAAACCCAGCTTCCTACCCTAGGTAGAACACCTTATTTGGAACCATTTTTGTTCTTGGACCTACCCTAAAAAGTGGCCAGAAGCGGCCAGAATCGAAGGCCGAAACTGGCCAAAACTTCAATCGCTTAATCAACCAATTAAACGCAGAAATTTCTCAAAAAAAACACCACCAGAAGCTAGAACACGTTGAAAGGATAGAAAATCATACCAAATTCGAAAGCTTTGGTGGCCGGACGAGCTCCCGAAAGTTTACTAAAAAACTGTCCAACACCTCCTGTTTCGTGACTGATTCCGGCGACCACGCCGGTAGATGAAGGTTGGGACCAGTCGGGAATCGAAGAGGAAATTGAGGTGGTTCTAACGGGACCAGTGCCGCCAAGAACGGACGTGTGTGATGTCGGTGGTGGAGGAGAGAAGTTGGCTGGTCGTGAAGCTTCTGACGTGGGGGGGGCGGAGGAGAAAATCTGGTTTTTAAAACTGAACTTTGAAATATTTACGGTTATGCCACTGAATTTCTTTTGATCGTAACTTCTTCGTTACAACTTCAATTTGAGCCCACTACGTGTCTACGGACTCATCTCGACGTTCTCTCCAAATTCCTTCCTGATCAAAAAGTCAACTTTTTCCCTAATTATTCTAGGGGCAAAATTGTCTTTTTCTCTAATAATTTAATAATTAAAAATTAATTAACGACCGGGTTGTTACATTTATTGCATAGTTTTAACCATTGGATTTCACTCAAAACCACCAAATGACTCCTACCATATTATGATGTTGCCCAAGTTTTGGGCTCAATCCGATATCAATTGAACCAAGAAATCAGACAATTCAATTTTGTTTCAACTTCGTTCCGTAAATGGAGTGGTTGGTGTGTTGCATAGTTTTAGCAATTGGATTTCACTCAAAACCACCAAATATCTCCTCCCACCATATTATGATGTTGACCAAGTTTTGGGCTCAATCCGACAGTGATTGTCCAAGAAATTGGAGAATTCAGTTCGTACAAAGTTCGTTCCGTAAATGGAGTGGTTGGTGTATTGCATAGTTTTAGAGATTGGATTTCACTCAAAACCACCAAATGTCTCCTCCCACCATATTATGATGTTCCCCAAGTTTGCGGCTTAATCCGATATCGATTGGTCCCTGAAATTGTACAATTCTGGTTCATACGAAGTTCATTATGTAATGGAGTGGATGGTGATTGCATAGTGTGAGAGATTGGATTTCACTCAAAGCTCACAAAATGACTCCTCCCACCATATTATGATGTTGCCCAAGTTTTGGGCACAATCCGATATCAATTGGTCAAAGAAATTGGACAATTGAGGTTCTTATGATGTTTTTTCTGTGATGGAGTGGTATTGCATAGTTTTAGCAATTGAGTTTCACTAAAAACTCACCAAATTTCCCCTCGCACCATATTATGATGTTCGCCAAGTTCTGGGCTTGATCCAAAGTCGATTGGTCCAAGAAAGTGGACAATTCAAGTTCGTATGAAGTTCATTATGCAATGGAATGGTTGGTGTATGGCATAGTTTTGAACCATTGGATTTCACTCAAAGCTCACCAAATGACACCTCCCACCATATTATGCTGGTCCCCAAGTTTCGCGCTCATTCTGATATTGATTGGTCCAAGAATTTGGACAATTCAAGTTCTTACGAAGTTTGTCCTATAATGGAGTGGTTGGTGTACTGCATAGTTTTAACAATTGGATTTCAGTCAAAACACTAAAACGACTCCTCCCGCCATATTATGATGTTCCCCAAGTTTTGGGCTCAATCCGATATCGGTTGGATCCATAAATTGGACAATTCAGGTTCGTACAAAGTTCGTTCACTATTGGAGTGGTTGGTGTATGACATAGTTTTAGCAAATGGATTTCACTCAAA